CTCTCTGTCCCAAAAAAATAAATAAAAACGTTGAAAAAAAAATTTTTAAAAAATAAATAAATAAAAAACAAAAAACAGTCTCCAAGATCTTGGGTTGTGTTTCCTTGCAGCGGCTCCCACTTGCTCCCCATAACACAGACCAGCCTCAAGACAAGCCCCCAGACTGGTTCACGAGCTACCTGGAGACAGTGAGTGTTCTCTCTGGGTTGGGTTTTAGCAGCAGTGTTGGCACAGGTGGAGTAGGGGAGAAATAGCAAACCGAACCCAAATGGCTGCTGCCTCTGGTGCAGGCGAATGAAGAGTGATAATGGTTCTGGTCAAGAAAGCGCCTCACTTCTACCGTGATTGACTGGGAAAAGAGGGAGCCTACTTCTAAGGATGTAAGGGAAAGGAACTAGTCTCTGTGCTTGAGAAGGAAGAGGTTAGAAACTTACTCGGCAAAACAATTTCTTGGTGTCTTCTTTGAACCTGGTTAGCTGTGGAAGAGAATAGACCTTCTTTTGCTACATTTCTATTTGTTCAGTAGCTACTAGGTGTTTTATTATGTTCTTATGCTATACCAGAGACAGTGAGGTGTGTGGTATAACTAAGGTTTTCCCCTCTTCTGCTCTGTATTCTAGTTCAGAGAACAGGTGGTCAAAGAAACAGTTGAGAAACTGGAACAGAAATTACATGAGAAGCTTGTCCTCCAGAACCCATCATTGGGTTCCTGTCCCTCAGAGGTCTCCATGCCTATTTCAGAGGAAACGCTGTTTCTGCCGGAAAACCAGTTCAACTGGCATATTGCTTGCAGCAGCTGCCAAAGGAGGATCTTTGGTGTGCGCTACCAGTGCAGGTAAACAGTAACTTGGCTATTAGAAGACCTGTGAGCAGGCCTTTCTGGCATCCTGGATAGGTAAAAGCAAATTAGCACGTACTCTGTCTCTGAGCATCATGCATAGATAGCAGCTCTGGATTGGAAATAAGCTATTCTCCACCCACAAGAAATATAATAACTGTTTGAAGGGTAACTATTCACATTGTTGTGTTCAGATGTACATTGAACAAAACCAAAAACGATAAAAAA